TTTCGATTTTAATTGGCTGAACAAATATGCATGATCGGGATCATCATTTCCTTATTTGGGACGTTCCTACCTGTAGTTACCGTATTATCATCTTCTCACAATTCTCCTTAATCTCGCCATTAACATTCGTTTACGCCGACCTTTTGATCTTTCCTTTTATCACAACCTAATTTCGTCATTTATATTCCTATTTTCGACATTCTTTACTTAACCATTAATTTCATAATATATACCACTGGCCTGAAGCTTTATTTGTTTAAGTGTACAAATTTCTATGTATTTCATATTTTATTATATTTTATCCTGTATTTTATTTTGATTTTTATATAATAAAGCTGGCCCCTGGTGGCTGATTTCGCATACATGATCAGTTTACTTTTGCGATGTGTCTTATTTATTGTATTGTTATCGATGTATATTAACTCACATATGATCAAGAAGTTTTAAAATTTTTCTTGGAAAAAGTGATCGGCGTGACTATTTGTCACGCGCACATAATTTTTTATTTGAATAAAAAGCATTAACTGTCAAAAAATATTTTTCAAAACGTGTACAGTAAAATTCTTTTCTCAACCATTTCTAAAATTATATAAATAAATATTAAAAATGCAAACTCAACGAGGCGAAAAGGCAAAGCCGAAAATGCTAGGCTTATGACTAGAATCGCAGAATTAGAACCAATAGTAAAGGAAAAAAAATGTGCTTGAGACTGAACTAAACTAGATTATAGAAGAAAATGTTGAGAAAGCAAAGTTAAGAGATGCTGAGCTCAATGCAAAAATAATGGAACTAGAATGGTCAGCAAAAGGAAATGAAAAACGATTTGCAAAATTGAAGCAAAAGCAATATAATACTGTGATAGATTACTTTAAAAATATCATGATCAGGTAAAAAAAATTATGTACGAAAAAAGATGTTATTGATACCCACTCTATAAGACAAAAAGCCGCTTATTTTTTTTACTTTACATTCGTTAGATCTTTGTAAATAACGGGATAAAGCAAATCTATTCAGTTATAAGTTCTAAATACTGAAACTATTTTGTTATTCTTTTTAGGTAAATTAAACCTCTTTAGTTCAACGATCGCACCTGCGAAGTGAAAAAGTTAACGGTCTCGACGATCTCGGAGATGGAGGAGATTTCATGATCCTGCGACATATAAATTTTGATAAAATTACTGATTAAGAACATTATATCTTCCCTCGTATAGCCCTTTTAAGCCCTATTCGCGCTTTTTTATCGCTGGATCATATAGAATCGACCAGGGCGACTATAAAAATACGGATCATTTGGGTGGAGCCTCCTGCCACAATTGCCACCCACATGATCCGTATTTCTTATAGCCACCCTGGTCGATTTGGATCATAGCTTACATAGCAAAAACTAGAGGTAGGATCGTCCCGAGTTTGCCACGAGTTTGTAGATCGTTACAACAAAGTGCATTAAGCAAGCCTGAAGCTTTCGCTCTGCCCAATAACATATTCGCTGAATTCATCTGAATCCAACCGTCTTCATATTTTATTAACCTGCGAAGTTATTATATAAAAGGGCATTTAAGCTAAATTAGCGAAATCTTGTGTTTAAGCAAAAAAAAAAAAGAAGCAAAATATGGAGACAAAGCGATGTTTTATTGGTTATTGAATAAACTCTTTAAGGAGTCTTAATAAGATCTACGTATATTACAGTTTAACTACTTTTTTTAATATTATTATAGTCGTTTAAATAAATAATAGAGCACCTATACCGGTAGAATTAATTTAGCAAATTAACAAGATGTGCGCTTGCTCATGCGCTGGGAGTTTTTTTTTATAGTATTGGCCAATCAGGTTTCGAGTTCAGGCGAAGCAAATTATTTTACTTTTTTTGATGTGATAAAAATATGATTTTTTTGAGGTTCAAAACGATTATTTTGTGTTAATAAAGATTGATTTTATATGTCGTGGATTTAACGTTTGAGTATGACTAGTATGTTTAACAGTAAAGGGAATATGATGAATTGGAGGTAATTTATCGAGACTGAATTTGTCGCCAAAGTGTTTGAAGAGTTTTTTGGCTGAATTTCTGTCGTAGTCAGTGTTAATTGTATTTATCAGGCTTTGTAATGAAGTCTTTTTTTATCGATCGCACACAGGCGGAGGGTCTATTAGAGTATTTTTACTGGGTAAAGTTTCGTTTCATTTAAGTTTTGATGATGCGGTGTATATACTGGTTTTGATTTTGATATTTATGTAATTTATTTATTTGTTTGATTTTTTTTTTTCCTTTTTGATGTTATGCTAATTGTTTATTATGAACTTTTCAAGTTTCGGCATTAATTACGATTGTGTATGCCTGTAAATCTTGCGGGTTGAAGTTAAGAAGTTAGTAGGTTAAAATAAACGAAAACAACTAAAAATAGAAAAGAAAAAAGATTATAAGTGTATTTGTGTAATTTTTGATCATGTCTAGTGATGTCAGTTTCGATTCTGATTTTTATTTGCGATGTTTTTTTGTTCGTCTAATTATGAGTGGGCGATGTTGGAAGTTCTTTTCGTGTGTTATTAAGGAGGGAGGATTGTATAAAGCGAGTATGTAAAATAGAGTTTTTCATGATGATGGTGTTGTTGTCTGTTTCGATAATATTAAAGTATGTAGTTGTGAGCTATTATTTTTTTTAGGTTTTTTACAGTGAGAAACTAAATTTTTGCTTGTATATTTTCTTTGTAGAATTTATGAAGTTTGCTATTGTTGAGCAATCATTGTGTTTTATTTTTTGAGTGCGGGCAAGAGAAAATGTACATTCTCAAAATAGAATTTTGTGCAACAAAAAAATGTGGACTATTTTTAACTCAGAATACATGTGACTGATTATTCTAGAATATCGCATAATTTCACGGAATGAATGTCCGTGAAATCACATGATATTGTTAATGTAGCATAAAAGTGACAGTACCTTTTTTTTTATTTTTTGTCCTTTTTACGTGATTTGTTTGATGCTGCATTGTATTCATCAATCTGTTTCCGTTTGGTAATTCTCCTACTTTGTATTTCTTTTGCCCGAACTGCCTTTAAATTTCTAACTCTCTCCAACACGTTGTCCTGTGGTTTGGGACAAAGCTCGTCATGAAAAGCGATTGGACAATATGGACGAATTTTATCCCATAAATCTACTTGCTTTTCTTCTGAAAGACCTTTTGGAGGAGTTCATGAGGGCTTAAAGTTATATCATTGTTATACTTTAGTAATTGAAATTCATCCCAAGGGTCACTAATTCTTGCTTTAGCTCTCATAATACCAGGTCTTTCACAGTTAAACTGAAAAAGATAATACTTCTGAATAGCAGGGAGCTTGCGGTATAATGTGCCAAGTGCTGAAGTCCAATCATGAAATGGTCCTATTTGATTTTCTAAATTCACGGGTATATTGCTGTTGGCGCTTTTGTCTATTACATCTACTAATTGATCAACACACCAAATTTTTGACCTAGAATATTCCCATTTCGAGTTACCAAATCCACGATCAACTAAATTTCTTGTATGGCCTTTGATTTGAAAACGATATTCAATTTCATCAAATATTTGAGTATGGCATGCCCAAAGAAAATACCAAAGAAGACAAGAATTCTTGTTTTGACCACCACAATTGTCTGCCCATAATTGAATTTTTTTGGCTTCACCTGCGGCAGATGTAAGAAAAAGATGTACAATTGAAGCAACTTCATTTGCTCCTTTCGAAGCTTTCCCTTCCGTATAAATTGCATGCCAGTGAGTATCGATACCTTCATCTACTAGACCAAACTGGTGTGCTTTTAACAATGATAGATAGTACCATTTTTCAGGTTGCTGAGGATCATGAGGCAATTCTACATCTTGGACAAAATCGAAAGAGAAAACACGAAACAAGGATCGATCACATATTTTAGCAGTTCTTATGTCATCTTCATAAGCATCTCTTATTGACCGATAATCATTTATATGCATTAATAATTGCATATCAAGATCTTCATCTACATTATTATTATTTTCTTTTAATGCCCGCTTGAACAAAGTACATTCATCACACATATCCTTGGATGGTTTTCTAATTGCGATCTTGCCAAGTTCAAGATCGCTTTTCCATATTTTTTGAAAAGTTCGGTGACTTTTAATCAAATTGTTAGGATTTAATAGATTATAGGCTACAAGAAGACGTCTATAAGAATAGTGAGAGGGAAGGAAAACACTATCATGCTTCTCGTAGGTTACTATTATTTTCCCGTCCATATTTTTTCGTGTATATTTTCGAACTGCTACTGTCTCCCTATGTTGATCGCCCATCTAACTAATAAATGATTTTGCTTTATCAACTGTTTCAGTAGACAAAGTAATCTTGGGCGAACGACCAGTATTGCCGTGAGGCTGTGGCAACATGGATTTGCATTCTTGAATCTATTTATTAAGAGTATCTAATACTCTTCTACCACACATCCAAAACGTTTAAAAAAAAGGACAGCAAACTTTACCAAAATATGGAAGTTGATAATCCTTGATGTAGGCTTGTTTTTTATATGGTTTTTTATAAAGAGAAGCTATAAGAATCATCATTGAATAGCGTCATTGATTCTTATCCATTCAAAGGCTTTCTAGCACCAGAGATTGTAAGAGGTTTTGTAAAACCTTTTTTGTATAATTATTTTCGCATAAACAGCATTTTTTAAGTTCATTTATTAAGGTATTCACAGTCACCTGGTCTTCTTGACTAATTTTCTCACACTCTTCATCTGTAATATCCTCCTCTGAATTAAATTCTTCAGGTTGGAAATTTTTATCTGATTCGAGGGTAGCAAAATCTAAATTATCAAAAAAGTATTCAATGCCTTGGGCAACGGTATTAGAGGATTCCATATTAAAAAAATGTGCTTGAAATTTTTGTACAAAATATATATTATTTTATAAAGTATTGATTGCAAACGAGTACGAAAAGATGGTTTGTTTATAATTTACTTCAGATTAAATAGATAAATTGTAAAATATTTTTAATTTAAAAATTTTATTAATCGTAATAATCAATTACAGACTGTTATGGATTTATTAAAGACTCATTATGGCGATGAGAAAAAGTGCACTTATAAAATCATATGCTGAATTCGCATTAATACGATATGATAATACGTATAATGCCAAAAAATAATAATTGTTTAAAACTAGAGACTTATTATGAAGATGAGAAAAAATGCATTTTGTTATACCTTGATGCATATTATATCTGATATGATAATATATGCGATGCTAAATGCTGAATGATAAAAAAAAAATTATATAATGGAAATAATGGAACGTTTATTAAGATGCATTACATATTCATTATTAATTAGGGATGTTAAATTGTAAAGCCAGTCCGGTCTTCTTACGAAAAACCATTAGGATTGGGCCCGACCAGAGTTGGTAATTAGATAAATAGGACATAAAAATTGCGCGAATTGGACATTTAGACATATAAACTCTATATGTTTAATTCAGATCAAAGCAATTGGACATATAAACATTGCCATCCCTGATTCTGACAACAATCCTTGAATAAGAGCGTTTTCAAGCACCTACCTCAATGGATTCAACAAAGAATCTGATTTATCTGTTTGATCAAACTGACTAATCAGATTTTTTTATTTAATTTATTGAGGTAAGTACTCGTGAATGCCCTAAATCTCTATCAAATCGATACTTATTTTAAAAACAATAAAGATAACATCCAATCAAATGAATACCTTATTGTTAAACAATGACATTCAATAAAAGTTAGATCTTGGATTTATAAAAAGACCACTCTGGGTCTAGGTTCTATATAGTCCTCATGCAGGGTTGCAATAGTGTTCGAGCAATTAGTATCCATTGACTTCATTTAGAGCTCAATTGGCTCTATTCGCAGCTCCATTGCCAACTCTGTCCTCATGTGATTTAAGAATCGAGTCCTTACCAATCCTTTAAGGGGTCAGTTAGAATTCAAGCCCCAAAGGACCAATTAACATCCCTATTATTAATCGAGCAAATTTAATTACCAGCCCTACTAATAAAAGCCCCAATAAAATTCATACTGTATGAATAGAATTATGTATATAATGATGCTTTAAGTTGAATTTTTTAAACAATCATCAACATCCTTATAATTTGGTCGCTAAATATCTATCATCAGTTTTTTGAAATATCAGAATACTACTAACTTATTGAAAAAAATTCACTCAATTACATCTTAGTTTTAAGCTGAATTCTCTTATTTTCATTTGTTCAATCTCGTGCTGTATTTTGAGGTTCCCATATTTTTCAATAAAATATATTCATATAAATGATTCCTATTAAATCTAACCAAGTTGCTAAAAGGGATGACTAAAGTTGAAATTCTTTAATATAATCATAGATATCCTTACTTCCGCTTGTCTATCCTTGTGGTGAGTCAAATGTTTGACACCAAGCTAACTATGTGTTATATCGGCTGAATCAATTAACCAGCTTTAACCCGTTACAATGAAGATACACCATAAAGATCAATAGCTTATTTTCAATTCTGTCGATAAATTTAACGCAAGACACTATATCCGTGAATTTGGACAGCCCATTCTAAAAATCTCAGTTGAGAAATGCATTTCACTCTTGCTACTAATCACGTGGATAAAATGGAATTAAATAAGTAATAGTAAGTTTTCAAAGCAACAAAAACATAATCTACTTAAACAATGACGACAACTTCAGACGGCACTTCTTTGATTTTAAAGGCCTAGATTATTGATAAAAGCAAAATTTTAGTGGCATGGTATCAAAATTTTGCCTGCATCCTGAAACGACTAGAATAGTTATTGGAACATTCTTTTTGATCACATGTATTTCTAAAAATAATTTTGAAATCCTGCATACTGTTGCACAAAAAGTCCTATATTTAGAATGTACATTTTCTCTTGCCCGCACTCTTTTTCGGTGCTTGTGTAAGGTGTCAAGTAATTGTGAATTTGTACTTATGTTTAGTCGGCATTTAAAGAAAACTGAAAAAAGTAATTAATATTGTCAGGTGAGTGGATTGTAGATGACATCTATTTATAGGCGATATATTAGATATAATGCAGTCGGGGAATATACCAAATTTGGGTTATGGATGATTGCACCTTATTTAGTAATGATCGACCATGAGATTATTCTAGACGT